TCTCGCTTCCGATCCTTCCTCCTCCTTCCTTTCCTCCTCCCTCCCTCCCTTTCTGTTGTCTTTTTGCTGTGCGTTCCTTTTTTTTCTCGCCAGAGAATGTAGGGTACTTTGCGCTGTCGAGTCAGGAGCAGGCAGGGGTGCATCGAGCTTTACTGTGAACCTTGAACTCCTGGGCTCAAGGGATCCTTCCTGACCTGTAGCGAGGAGGTGTGCGACACCACACCTGGTATTTTTTAATTTGTGTAGAGATGGGTTGCACTAGTTTCCAAGCTGGTTTGGGGAATCCTGGTCTTACACAATCCGTCTCAGTACTCAGACGCCCTCCAAAGGATTGCAGGCATGAGCTACTGACACCCAGCCTTCACGGTAAACATTTTCAAGCTAGCAAAAGTAATACGAAAAGAGAATAAAGATTTTTTAAAAATAGTACATTTATTACTTAAAACGTTATACAAACTTCATTATACTCTTTCTGGACGGTACCCATATTAGCAAGATCTATATTCTGTATTTTTTTTTTTTTGTAGATAGAGTCTCGCTCTGTGCCTAGACTGGAGTGCGGGGGCCACTCTGCTCACTGCAAGCACTGCCTGCCCAGGTCACGCCATTTCTCCTGCCTCAGACCTTCCGAGTGCGGGATACGAGGTGCACAGCCACCCCGCCGGCTATTTTTTTGGTTGTTTATTAGCGTGAACCCGGGAGGCGGAGCTTGCAGTGAGCTGAGATCGCGCCACTGCACTCCAGCCTGGGAGACAGAGCGAAACTCCGTCTCAAAAAAAAAAAAAGATTTCACTTCTAGACATAGGATTTTTCCGTAACACATTTTATTCCTATATGGAACCACTTCTGTTCTTAGAACTGAATTATCCTATTTGTCTGTTATAATACAAACATGTCTATCTACTTCTTCTTGTCATTATATATCACTTCAAATGTAGAACTGGTAAATACAAGATCAAGTAAGTCTTAATGACCTGGAAGAAACTTTTCACTATGTTAAATACTCCTTAGTTCTCTAAACCTACTGTGGTAATTGTAGATCAAGGTCTTTGGCCACTAATTTTTGCTTATGTAATTTTGTCTTCTCAGAAATAAAGTGAGGAATCAAAATATTACAGTAGTATTGCTCATCATAACGCTGAAATAACCATACTAGTTAACACATTTGTTTTTAAATTTTGCAATATAATTGCATGGCTTCATCTTTTAAGTTTCTGCAAGTTTCAATATATCTATTTCTTCTTTTTTTGATAGGCAAATGAATAATTCTGGAAGGGTAAAACACATGAGTCTACTAAATACATAAATGAATACAATGTATACTTTAGGATAGTAGATTTTTAAACAAGGACATATTTTTAAATTTCTGCTTATGTTTAGGTCTATTACAATGGCTACCATGGAGACACCTCTGAAACATTTTTGGTGGGCAATGTGGACGAATGTGGTAAAAAGTTAGTGGAGGTTGCCAGGAGGTGTAGAGATGAAGCAATTGCAGGTTGCAGAGCAGGGGCTCCCTTCTCTGTAATTGGAAACACAATCAGGTAAGCCTTACATTGACAAGTAAAGGGAGGGTTGGCAAATGGTACAGAGGTTATTGGTGGCTTGGTATAAAGTTGATGACATGTTTTATGATTCAGAACCATCATTTCAGTCTGATATCGGTATGTGAACTGCCAGGCTGCAATATTGTTCCCTGAGTTGAAAAAAAAAACAAAAAAAAAAGGTTTTATAAAAGTGAATTATACCAGGGTCAGCAAAGAAACTTATAGAAGGAGTAAGCAATAGTTACATGGCTGCTTTTGTTTTAGCTTGATGTACTGGTCTATAGTTTCCCTTTATTCAAAATCACACCAAATATGGAAGGGAGTACCTAAGAAGGGGATGAGCATCTCAACCCTGGGGTTTTTAATAAGACAGGAGAAAAACTAAATTTTATAAAGGAATGAAGTGAAATGTATTCCTATGATATGAAGATAATAAAGTGTTAGTTCAAGCAAGCCTTACCTTTCAAATTGGCAGATTAACAAATAGCCTGAAAGGGTGATCTGTTCTTTTTTTGTCTGGTTCATTTTTCCTGTAAACCATTGTTTATTTTTCACAGAGTGTTCTATCCTTACTTTTTGAGTGTATATGTATGTGTATTTTCTGAATTTAAGACTTTTCTTTGTAATCTGTTACCTACTTTTAGGTCTTTTTTTCCCCCGTAACTGTTTTGAGGTAGACATGCCGAATATATGTTTTCATTTTAAAGTAATGCATTCTGTTAAAGATGATCACATCAGCATCGTTTAAAGTACTGTTCTCATTAATATGAACCATTGAATACTTCCCATTTGCCTAAAGGATGGAAGGCTTAGTCACCTTGAAAAGATGCTGCCTTTTTTTCTTCGTAAGCCTTCAAATACTTTAAGAAAAAAGCCAGTAAAATATCAGTTAAATGTATTTATGGCTTTAAAAATATTGTAACAGTGTCTGAATCAAACTTTAGTAAAATCTCTTTGGGTTATATCTGAGAAGCTTTTATTGAAGACTTTGAACAAAATTGTGTTTTTGACAGTTTTAAATTATAGGCTAACTAGCCTGGGAAAAAAGGATAGTGTCTCTCTGTTCTTTCATAGGAAATGTTGAATCAGACCCCTACTGGGAAAAGAAATTTAATGCATATCTCACTATCTTACTGTCCATGAATATAATAGAAATGAATTCAAAATGCAGTTTTATTTTTGCAAATGGGATGAGTCGATAGATGCACCTCATATTTTTGAACACCTAGGGTTCAACAAATTTACTGGTGGTGCTCTTGCATTTTAACAAAATTTATTCTTCAGTAGAAGGGGGCAGAGAACACTAGATTCTTATTCAAGCATTCTATCGAGCTCTGCATTCATGGCTGTGTCTAAAGGGCATGTCAGCCTTTGATTCTCTCTGAGAGGTAATTATCCTTTTCCTGTCACGGAACAACAAATGATAGCTAACTACAGAGGCACATTTGCAGTAGTCACATTCATCAACTGCAGAAAAAAAAATTCAATTTAATTGTGCAACACAGCTGCACATGGGCTTTTGAGCATTTCTGTTGTTCTCCCTGTCTCGCTATTCCTCCCTCCAGATCTATTTTTTAAACTTTTTTTCTGGTTATTTTTTCCCCTTTTTGTCTCTTCTTCCATTTTTACTCTCTGTACTTTCTTGTTAAAGTAATTTTCCTTTGTGGCTCTCATTCTTTTTTCCCCATTGAAGGCTATGAATGTAGAAAATTATCACAATTACTCATATAATTGAGCCTCTTTGTAGCAAGTGCAACTCCAGTAGCCTTTCTCCATCATGAAAATGGTTTCATTATAGGGTTTTTCATATTCTCTGACACCATCTACACAGAGGAACAGGCGTGCAGATGAGATGTACTAGGAACAGGCTAGATCAGTAAGGTCACAGTAGGAATAATTAGCTCTGCTATGGAAAGAGCATCTAGGCCTTTTACTGCTACATAAATGTACTGTCCATGGCTTTTAGTCACAAAAAAAACTTACTAACAAATGGAGCTCCCGCCTACTACTTTGAAAAAAAGATTTGTATCAACACTACAATTTTCCATCATTAAGACTAATAACACAGAGCCTAGTATACATCAAGGGGAATAAAAAGAAAAATCTCACATTCAAGTGGCGGCTGGGTGCTGACCTTTGTTCCCTTTTTTTGTGTACGACTTAACTCTTTACAAAAAAGAGCCACACGCCACACCAACATGCAGGTGAACTCCAGCTAGTACTAGCAAAGCATAGCATTCAGTTGGAAAATCTGATAAATCTCCATGCAGGATAATGCATTTCATTACATATTCACTACATTAATTCTAGCTACATAAAAAAAAAAGAAGAAGAAGAAGAAGAGTAGAATTGAAAGTGACATTGGATTTTAGCTATCTGGATACAAGGTCAGTTTTCACAGACTATGAATTTGCATGTACAAGCTTTTTTGAAAACCAGATCAGTCCCAACAACTGCACTTAAAAAAACTATGTGGAAAATAACAGACAATGAACTTTTTACTTGTACCCTAATACATTTCATTATTTAGATGGTTTATGTCTGCCACTAGAAAGGAAACTGGCCCCGATTCTAACAAATGTTTGTTCTGATGTGTTAAAGCAGTGTTTCTGGACACCTATTATCTTGCCTTTTCTTATTCTGGCAAAATCTTAGGGGAATAAGTAAATAAACCATATTTACCTTTAGGCCAAAAGTACTTGAAATCATTATAGACCAAAGGTTTACAAACATCTTTTAACTCGGTCTTGTTTATTTTAAGATATTCACCAGCTTTTGCATAGCCTATCTCTACTGATACACTAGGAAAAGAACAAACAACTTGTATTAGTATTATGTTATCAAAAACCTTGAGATCTTTACAGGAAATTTTGGAATTCTCCTCTGAAACCTAAAGAAGATAATGTCTCTGAAGAAGTATCAGCTAAAATGTTTTAATGGAAAGAATTCTCTCTGGGCCCTTTTGCTTTGTGAGGAATGCCTAGTAATCTTTAGGTCATAGTGTTATTAGACTCACTGAACCTCCATTTGCTTTAAAATATTTCTAAATCTGTATTTTTATAATTATCTCTAGATTATACAATCTGTACGTATGAGTATATTGTGAATGTGTAGATTCATGCATCATAAATATGTGACAGTTCAATCAAAAATAATTTAAACTTATAAATGTCATGATGAAAGTATCAATAAATGGTTTTTAATGTTTAATTCATAACTATATGTTTTGATATTAATTTGGAACAATATGAAGCAGATTTTTAAAAAATAATCTCTTTCTATTAGATTACACACATTTAAACAATAAGTGGCTCAGGCAAAATAAGTCATTTTAATGTCATCTGTGATGGATTTTTCTTGACAGCTACTGTAAATTACAATTATACTGCTTCTCTCTGCACATGAAAGTAAGCATTGCAATAAATTATCTTTTATTTCAATCCATCATGTCTGCTTTTCAGAAACAGAAAACCTCAAATAAAAGTTCAGCACTATTGTAAGAAAAATACAGTAATTTGTGATCTAGTTTGAAACAAAAAAAAATGTACTACTTTTTTGGAAAACAGTTGTTGGCTTTCAAAAATATTACTAATTGTACTTAAACATTCCTTTTCATTAGAAGGAATCCCTGGATTTGTGCATTCCTTCATTCATAAGTACTGCCTAAAATAAATACCTAGAAACAGTAAAGAAAAATTTCATAACATGAAATAGCGTGCCATTTGAGATCATTTATTAGAGATGTGACTATTTGGAGATTAGTGCTGTTTATAGGATTAATGTAAAATTGGCAATAATCTATTTTCATGTGCATTTTTATTTCTTTATAAGAGCCTGTACTTAAACATAGTACTCCTCTGCCCTCTTGGGGAATGTATTTTTAGTCAAAAAAAGTAGTTGAAAAGTATTAAAAAATTTAATTTACCCAGATGACATTTAAATTGAGTATAACTGCCTCATGAAAAGGAATTAAACTGAAGAAAATGGTCACAAGATGAAATTCCTTGCAAGAGATATCTTTTTCATGTATAAACTGTAACTGCACCGCAATTGTAATAAGACAGTATAATAGGAAAGTAAGTTCATAAACAACCTTTATATATCCTCCTCTCCCTCTCCAAATATTCCATTAAAAAGGCCTCAAATCATCAGTGTGCTTGGGCTCATGAGTAGATATCATACTGTCTTAAAGGATTTTTAAATAGAGAAAATCAGAAGAGCTAACACCAGGAGAGTTCTTTTCAGTAGGTTTCAGCAGAGCGAAGACAGATTTTATCCGTGAAATGTTCAGGGCCAGAAAACTCTTGTGCACAGAAAAGGGTCATGGCCTGTGGTGACTGGTGTTTGGGAGTACTTGGGTGCTTCTGCCTGCCCTGCTGTTTCCATTTTCCCCAGCATGCCAGTCAAGGGGTGCAGACACACTCCAACTTCCCATGCCACAGTAAGGGTTACCAGTACTTTCTTTCATATTAGAGGAGTGAAATTTGCTACTACTGGTCACTTGGGTTATCTCTGTGAATTTGGATTTAAACCCTACAATGAGGTAAATAATCTTGTGCTCCCCATTTATTCCAAAATAATAGAAAGGGAATGCTTTTAAACACTAATTAGGAATATTAATGAGATTCTATCTGACTTAGTTCCAGTAAGTACTAAAAACCATCTACCAATCCAAAAGGAAAATACTCTGAAAAGCAAACAGGAGTGTATACTCAGCTCCTGGGAGTCAGGCATTAAGATGTGCTCAAGCAGGCAACCGGGGGAAATTTGGCCTGTTCTTTTCCTCTTTCCACCTGGCTGTGAAATCCTCTAACCTTTGCATCCATGACACATAGATTCTATGATACTCCTGGAGCCAGAAGTTCCAGCAGGACCCAGGGAGTAAATTGTTATAAGAGAATGCTCTCAGATATCTTTAGCCACCTAGTAATTGCACAGCTTCTTTTATGCAGAGGAACGAGAGGTATGATGGGGGGAGGGACCCCAAGTGTTTTTTCAGAGTGGGCTTTCTTCCTCTCCTCTCATCGGAAATTAAAATGAAGATTGCCATTGTAACACACATTTAAGATGTAGCCGTGATGCCTGCCAATCAGCCGGATCCTTTAAAAAAAAAAAAACCTAGATTTTTTTTTAAGAAGAGAAAATAGAATAGTTTATATTGAATGTTCTAGAATCATTGAGGTTTGTTGGGATTGAACTAACATAATTTATAGGTTTTGGTAGAAACTGCTTATATAAAAAAATCTAGATTATTATGTCCTATTTAATCATCTTTCTTCCACCTGTATTCACTCTTCATCCTCAGTTTTTATTCACAAACTGTGTGGCACAAATAAAAACACCTTGGGAAACACCAAATAGAATTACTTGCCCACCAAAGATCCACAGAAATAACCATAAAGTACAACATAAGAGATAAAAACCTTGACTTACCATTCCTGTCCTCAACATATGCATTGCTTACCTATTTCTACACTAACAGTTACATCAAAATTAAATCTGAATAAGAGGTTGCCCATCTGCTGGTTATAGTGACATCCTGGTCTAAGTGAAGCTATCTTACAAGTCTGGGGATGGTTAAAATTATTTAAAAAAACATATAGACATGAATGACCATAAAGATGCTGGCTGAAAGCCTTTGGGTTCATGTTAAACTAAGAGTCAGTTTGAGACTCTAGTTTGAGATCTAGAAACTTAGTTCTGTTACTAATTGAAATAGTAGTCCTGTAAATCCCAATCTATTGTTAGGGTTAGGGGTATTGTGCCCTTTGTCCACCTGAAAATATAAGTTGTTAATAGTATATATGTTCTTGTTTGTCTGATGCTCCCCAAAATAAACATGTTCAGCTGATTTCAAGGACTACTTTTCAATCTTGTAGATAAAGATTTTAGAGTTGGATTCTGTGCTTGGTTTCAGATGGAACGTAAAACATTTGCTTGTAACTAATGTAGTGCATGCAATGTACTTCATTACATACATGTAATGAAGTAACTAATGAAGCACTAAGAATTGGGAATCACAATACTAGCTTATCTTAAGCATCCTAGTGATCAAAAAGCATTCTTTATGAATTTTGTTAATGGTGCAGGTCTTGAATGGAACTCTCAAATGATCTCACAGTTTTGGAGTGTTTCAAGAACACTGACAAAGTAGATTGAGCTTTTCATGTGAGTGTGCCTGTTGGTAAAATGCATAACGCTTTGAAATAGAGCAGAAAAAGGGAACCATAGTAAGTCATATTTCTATATTGTAATTTGTTTTATTTTTGGTTCCCCAATCAGGAGTAATTTATAGTCTTTTTGTGAAATCTCAAAAAAACCAGGCAGGTTTTTATGACCTGCATTATATGCACATGTATCCTGGTTATGTATGGCAATCACTATATGTGTATACATACTCATTTGTTGTCTAAAAGTGGCTTTGTTTGAATGCTATACAAAGGTAAATGACTCAAACGACTGTGTTAGATAGATATGTACCTTCTTTCTTCATATATCCAAAGAGAGTGGTTGCAAGCAACAGCAAAAATTAAAATTATTACAGCATAATGAAAATATATGAATATTATTATCTGACTAAATATTACTGACTTTTTCTTTTTCAGAGAATATTTTAACGTGACTTTGTTTTATCTTACTATGCCTGAAAAACTTAACCTAATTTAATTAAATTTTTTTGGTCACTTTTAAAGCCACATAACTAATCAGAATGGTTTGCAAGTCTGTCCACATTTTGTGGGACATGGAATAGGATCTTACTTTCATGGACATCCAGAAATTTGGCATCATGGTAAGAAAGTTCATTTGGAAGCTGTTTGTTGATCAGACATCAGGATGTGGCAGCTTTGCCCCTGAACTCTTACTCTGACTTTGAATCTGCATTATCAACCTTGTGTTTGTGTGTGTGTTTGTGTGCGGTGGGCAGGGGAGGGGAGTCTGCTTAATTTTAACCGGGACATTACTGTGTTACTGGATTAGAGCCCAGCTGTTTCAATCCCAAAATAAGGTTTATTTTGTTTTCTGTCTTCTCCTGAAGGGTGTATGGCTGGAAGGCACAAGGGATATTTGTTTAGAAAGAGTTACTGAAAACAAAACGCCACTGCATCAGTGTCCCAGCAGCATGCACATATGACTGTTTTCTGTTTTTCTTTTTCGACCCCCTTTTCTAGCTGCTGACTGTTGTGGTTAAACTTCATTACATCCTACACAGCGCTGACAGCTGATGTATTTAGCAGCATGTACTCTTTAGAGATTTCTAGATTATGCCCACCCTTGTCTTCCTTCCCCAGAATCTCCTGTTTTTCACTGCCTGGGTGTGCACCCTATAGTGAGAAGACAGGTGTGGGCCCGCAGGGGTGGGAGGATTTGGGTTGAGGTAGGAGGCAGCTCAGTGGAGCACCCTCAAGGCAGGTCCACACCTGGACAGGGACCAAAGGAAAGTTGGTCCTGGGGCATTGACCTGTGCCCCTATGGACTTGGTTGGTCCATAGAAGGACTACTCTTTGGGACTCATGCCCTGGAGGATCGCTGGACACCCAGCAGGTCTGAACCCTCTTTGGACCAAAGAGCCCCCACCTAGGCAGCTCAGAAGAGGTTCAGGTGAGAGTGCAGAAAAGAGCTTGTCAGCCTTGTGCCTTACCTGGTGCCAATGTCTGGAGTGAAACTATTTGAAGTCAGGCCCCTGCTCCCCACAACCTGCACCAAAGGAGGTTGCCGTCCTTTGCAACATTCCCCAGGACTTCTTTCTCTTTGAGGGAGGGGTGTGGGTGAGACCGAGGACCCAGTAGGCTGGGAGACCTAGTAGCCTGGGGGACAGAGAGAGGGGGAGAGGAAGCCTGACATGTGTCTGAAACACCCAGTCTGCCCCTGCCAGGCCTTGGAAAACTCTTCTGGGGGAGTCTTGCCCCAGAGCACAGATAATGCAAAGACTCAGGCCCAGTAGCCCCATGTTTAACTTCTGGTCACTATCCAGGACTCCAGAAATCTCCACCCTTCCTTCTCTAAAAGAAGAGAAATAAAACGAGCAAGTTTTTTCAATGGGCCTGACCCCTGTAATCTGTTTTTTTCTGTCCTCCCCATTTCCTATTCTCACACCCCCTCTGATGTTTTTTGTTTTGCAGCAAATGACAATGATCTACCCATGGAGGAGGGCATGGCATTCACTATAGGTAAATGAAGCTCCTCTTCCAAGTGCGTAGCTCCTGGTGGAAGCTGCTGCCACTGGCCTAGGCCCGGCAGTCCGGTGAAGGACTAATAAAGCCAATCAGCGTAATGAAATAATTCAGATGCACTGGAAAGCTGATTAAATAATATCCTCAAGCCCCATCTTCCTAAATCAGATACTTACCGACACATTTAGGAGAAGGCAGCCATCCAACCTCTAATCCTGTTACCAGCATAATGTGGTGTTGGGTTTTTTGTTTTGTTTTGTTTTGTTTTTTCATTAACACCCAGTAACTAGGCGCGATTATGTCCCTTGCTCCCTGTCAGCAAGTGGCATGTGCTCTCTGGCGGCCCGTTCCTGGCTGATCCTGTGATTGGTAACACCACCAAATTCCAGTCACCTAGGGCCGTAAAGGCATCATATTTCTGACTGTGGGACTTAATAGAGAAGCAATTAGAGTGAAATAAGAAATTTGTTATTTGCTGATGAATGAATATTTTGAGCATGGTTTTAAAATTGAAATTTTTTTTAAAAATTCGTATTTATAAGAGGGACTGGTGTTTGGGTGGTTATTATCCACAGGGTCCTAATTAAGGCTTGATTAAAATGCCCTTCTTTCTCTAAAAAATTACGAACTAGGCAACTTCATACATTTTGAATGGCATAGTGTTTCCTCTTCCTACTGTTTAGTTTGTAGTATACTATGTAAGCAACATCAATTATCAACCCTTGCAAGATGACAACATGAGCCTGTGGGGGAAGCACTTGAGGGGAGGGAGGAGAAACTTCTATTTTTTAATAATCAGCCCGAAACAATGTTTAACAAGAATCTGATGAGGTCACTGCAGTAAATATTTTTCCTCTTACAGAGCCAATCATCACGGAGGGATCCCCTGAATTTAAAGTCCTGGAGGATGCATGGACTATAGTCTCCCTAGACAATCAAAGGTGCTTTCTGCCCCGTTGCTTTTAAATTGTATGGGAAGGGAAGATTGGTCCGACGGCGCTCTTGCCGCCCGGCCGGAGCTTGCGTGCGCGTTCTGACTGCTGGGTGCTGTGTTACAGGTCGGCCCAGTTCGAGCACACGGTTCTCATCACGTCGAGGGGCGCGCAGATCCTGACCAAACTGCCCCATGAGGCCTGAGGAGTCGCCCGAAGGTCGCGGTGACCGGGTGCCTTTTTAAATAAATTGCTGAAATCTGGCTAGAGAACTTTTAGAAGAAACAGGGGAATGACCGGTCATGCGATAACCTACGTGGCACCTAATAGCATCTTGGAAAAACCCGGGCGGAGTGGGGGGACTGGAGGGCAACTGGGAACTCGGATCTGAAGCCCTGCCGGGGTTGTGCGGCTATGGAAAAACAAATCCTGGCCTTGGACTCGGTTTCCCAGCGCGGTCAACGCATCTGGAGGGGACTGGAGGAAACCCCTTCGTCTGGAAGATGAGAGATTCCAAGAGAAGCACGGTTTTCTCTTTCCCTTGTCCTGACTGTTCCAGTAAAAAACCTCTTAAATCCATTGTGTCTGAGGTCCTTACCTCTCTGACAGTTACGGTGATCTTTGTGTCTGAATTTTGCACGTCTGCCGAAAAACCCCAACCTGTTGACAGGGATTTTTAAAAATCCGTTTTTCCCTCTTGTGTATCCCACATTGGCCGGCCCCAAGGATGCTCGCGGAAGCCAGTCCCCAACTCCAGCCCTTCCGTATCTTTCCCCTCCATCGCGGCTTTGCGATAAAAGATTAGCCTGCGAACAGAGGCATTGATTACAAACATGTCCTTGGCAGTGGACTCTGGGCCTGGCCATTCTTGGGGTTTCTGTCAATCCAGAAACGCGACTTTCCTGGACCACTGCTGCTCTTCCTCCCCTGCCCACATCCAGCCCTCCAAGGCCGTCCCAGAGGTGAAGTTTGAGGCCCTGCCCCCAACCACCCCACACGCACGCACGCTAGACCGTTTGCTGCACTAGGAATTCGAGCTTGGGCCCCACTCGCCCAGTTGTGTACAGTGACTGGTTAGTGGGCGGTCTGGTCTCTAAAATGACCCCTCCCCACACTGGCCCACTTCGCATCGGGACCTGCGCTCGCACGCTGCAGGAGCCGCAAAGGTCAGCTGTTCTGGAAACTGAGAGGGTCCCAGAGAGAGGAGATACCGGCGCATTTGAGAGCAAGGGCCTACTTGGCTGGGACTGAAGCTTGCGAGTTGAACTCCAGTTCGGCCGGCAGCTCCATCCCGCTTCAAGAGCAGGAATCCAAGGACCCACGCTGTGTGTGCCAAGGGCCATTCCTCCCCAGAACACCCTCCTTTCCCTTGCGCTTGCTCTCCAGTACCAGTTCCGCACCTGAGCTCAAGGGTAGGGAGGGGCCGGGCCTCTGGCAGTCCACGAAGGAAGCCGTCTGCCTCCGGTTATGATTTTAGGAACAAGTCCAATGAGGGTTTTCAAGCAGTTAATGGTTGTGCTAACTCTGGTTTCTACTGAAGCGGGTTTTGCAAAGCTGACATCCCTTAAAAATAGCTTGGGCTTTCGGAAGTGGCAAGGAAATGGCACCTGTAGTTGCCAGGACGGGTGGTCTCCTCGGCCAGGACTAAGAGCCAGCTCATCTTTGTAACACTCATAATACGGGAAACTGAGGACCAGCCGGCTCGGAAAAGTGATGAGTTCCAGCTTTTACCTAACACAGGGTTCTCCCCGTCGTCCCTCAACCCCTCCAGCTCAGCTTCTTTGTGTCCAGGGTTGTAGATTTTTGGATAGAGGTGTTTCTGATTCTAGTGAGTCTGAGAACTGAAAAAGACCAGGGAGTGGCTGACGATTTACAAGGTCCATAGAAAAACTTTTTATGTGGTCAGAAGTTGGCCAAGCAGAGGCCCACAGGCTGATGCTACTGCCCACCCCCCACCCCCCAAATATCTGAATTCCCTAAAGAGCAAGCGGGTTCAGCTGACCTTGGGAGATGTTTGCTGGAGAATGACTTCAGTTTTCTCCTAAGGCAATCAGATTGCAACCATTAGTATTGTATCTTATCTGCAAAGCAGTTTACTCCGAGGTTCCCCAAGGATACTTTTATTAGGACCACAGGACTTTACCAACCACTGAGGTAACACGCTGCTTGTGCAGCAATTATTTTGAGGTGGAGGTATTTATGGGACAAGTTTATAATTCCATTTATTAAAGGGACTAACCTAAAGTGTGTGTGTGTATATGTGTGTGTGTATGTGTGTACCAACACTCAGCAGCTCCATAAAGAACTCCCTTTTAACATGCTTTGAAGTTGAGATTAGGAAGTAGATTTAAAAATACCTCGTCCACGCCTTCTTGTCCCTCTTCCAGCTGAACTGGCCCAAAACCTCACCCAGAGCCACTGGGATTCCAGCCAAGAGTGGCTGTGGCTAACACCACCAGGACCTCCTGGTTCTGAGGTGACTCCAGTAGGTTCCGTGAGGAATCCGGGACCCTCAGGACAAATGGGAGGGTTTTGTTTTCTCTCAGAGTGAGGGCAGGCAACAATTTAAGCAAACCGGCATTCAGAACAGGTGTCACCTTAGCAGTAGAGAGTGGGAGGGATCCACTCCAAGCTCACAAAGTGCGGCTAAGATCCCACATTGAGAAACCAGCTACGCCAGCGGCTCGGCATGAGAGGGCCCCTGCTCAGTGTTTCTCCCTAAACCTGCTTTTCTGGGCTAAGAAATAATTCCGGAGTGTAGCCATCTCTTGCTCACACACAATCCGCTTCTAAATTAAACAAGGCTCTGAAACAGTATCCTGAGGGGCGCATGCCGGACTTTTGTTCCAAGAAGGCAACCAGGTCCCCTGTGCTGCTGCAAAAGTCTTTGATCCCTCTCCAGCTGTGGACACAGAGCACCCAAGAGACTGTCGCGAAGTGCGGCCGTCTCTCTCCCCTTCCCCCCTCCTTGCAAGTCTCTGGAATACACTGTCCCTAGGCAGCCCGGCCGTCGGGTTTCCTCACGCCTTGCCCTGAGCTCCCGGAATTACCAATTCCACTTTCCCTGGTCCCAACCCCGACCCCGCGCCCGCCGCGGCGATCACTTACGTGGGCAAGGCCCTCAGGGCACGCGCAAGAGACCCGGGGCCCGGGCAGTATCCAAGCGACTGTGCTGGGCACACGGCATGGCACTCCGCACCCTAAAACAGGCACTAGTAAGGAGCAATTAAAAGCACAAGTGCGACACAGAAATCAGGACGAGCCGAGCGGCTCCAGGAGTTGCCTGGTGGCGGAATCATTAGCTGGCTGTTGCTACAAAGCCTCACCGTGTGGTTCGGTGATTAAGAAAAAAAAATCTTTTAAACGTTGGCAAACCCGTTATTGGTTTGGCCTATTGCGTTTTTTTTTTTTCTTTTGTTTTTCTTTTTGCTCCAACCACGCTGCCTGAAATATTTCTGCCCCCAGCACTGTGCCCTTAAACCAAAGGAGAGGAATTCTGCGGGCAGCAGCAGCTGGTACAGAAGTTAAAAAAAAGAGAGAGAAACCCCCTCTACTAACATCTATAACGACAGCACCGATGTAATTTGTTTTGAATGTTCATTTTTATTGGTGTTCCCTCTGCCAAAATGCGCTTGATTACAGAGGTTTGTCCTGTGATCATTGCACACTCCAGACAGGGGAAGGTGCAGCGATGAAGGTTCAGCTCAGGCCAGATCAAATCCCGAGCTGTTTAACTCTGAAAGGCTGCATGTTGCTATTAGTGTTAAATATATGGCTAATTATGCGTATGAAAATTAAACATCAGTGTTATGCTAATGGGGCGCCTTCAGCTGCGGATCTGAGCACTTGAGACTACCATTTAATCAAATGAATCAGTAACTAATACATCTGCACGTGTGAACTTTCACAAGATCATTTTCCCGTTCCCGTCACACCGCTAAATTATGAAAGAAATAATTATCAACACTTTCTAATTACCTAACAAAGTAATTTGGGATTCACCGTGGGACTGGCGGGTTGGGGAACCAACATCCACTTACAGCCAGGGTGGTGTGCGCCACACCGCGAGGGGGTGGCTGTATTGGTAGTAGTGGCGATGGGTTGGGGGCTTTTATGCAGTTTTTCGTACCTAGCACCTCAGAAGACAGAGGGAGCAGCGGCAGCTCTTGCCTCCACTAGCCCTGCCCCCTAGGCCCGGTGGCGCGCGCTTTGGCCACTGGAGGTGAGAAAGATACTGGGTGGCAACGCGGGAGGTATACACACAGATAGGGGAGCCTACTACAGGCCTGGGTTTGCTGCGGGTTTCGGTGTCCCCCAGGGACTCCTAAACTCTGGAAGTCTCGCTAGACCTCAGGAGGCCGGAAAATGATCACCTGGCGTCCGCGGCTTCAGCAGATCTGAGCCCCTAGGCCCCCTGGGCTCCACGCTGAGCCGCGCTCTCGGGGCGAGTGAGCCCGGGGCTCTCCGCGCAAGGGAGTGGAGAAGGGAGGGGGAGGAGGAGGAAGGCTGGGAGGGAAAGAGGATGTGTGTGTTGGGGGAGGGGGCGGCGCAGTCGCCTTTCCTGGGAGGAGAAGCGCGGGTTCCTGGCTCTCCACGCGCACTGCTTTAATCAGACCGTGCAGCCTCGAGCTGGAGTGGCCAGCTGGGCCTGAAGCAATGCGAGCGGGCCCCAGGGAGCGACGGCGGCGGCGGCGCAGCGGCCGAGCGAGTGAGTTCGCAGGGAGGGCCCCTAAGCCCCGACTCCAGGGATGTGGCAGAGCGTACCCGGGCCGGGGAGGCGCGGCCGAATGGGCGCCGCGCTAGGCACAAGGCTCTTGGGAGGACCTCTGTCTGTTGGCCGCCTCGGGCGCCCCCCAGTGCGCGACTCCGCGCTCCAGAGGCAGAGGTCAGGCTCCTCCCCAGCAGTCCTAGCTCTGCGCCGGACTGAGTGGCAGCGACGAGAAGCGGTCCAGGGTGTCTGGCGTTAGGGACCGCTGAAGGGTGGGGACAGTGGCAGGGGGGCGGCGGCGCCGAGCCGCTGGTTGGTTCCTGGGGAGGAAGGCGCGCGAGGGAGGCGGGAGGCCGATGAGCCGCGGGCCGCAGCGGTCCCGGCGCAGACGCCGGAGCCCATTGTGCTTCCTGCCCGGCGCGCTCTGTTGCAGAGCAGCCCCGGCCGGGAAGTGTGGATGCGACTCTCCCGAGGCCGGGCCGCCTCGCCCGCTCTAGTCCAGCGGAGCCCGAGCGCCTCGGACCAATCCCCAGTGATTATGCAAGACAGCGGACCAATCAGCTCCGCCAGCTCATGAATATTTATGACCTTGGCTGAGTCAAAGCTTTGAACCGAGTTTGGGGAGCTCAGCAGCATCATGCTTAGACTTTTCAAAGAGACAAACTCCATTTTCTTATGAATGGAAAGTGAAAACCCCTGTTCCGCTTAAATTGGGTTCCTTCCTGTCCTGAGAAACATAGAGACCCCCAAAAGGGAAGCAGAGGAGAGAAAGTCCCACACCCAGACCCCGCGAGAAGAGATGACCATGACCACCATGCCAGAAAGTCTCAACAGCCCCGTGTCGGGCAAGGCGGTGTTTATGGAGTTTGGGCCGCCCAACCAGCAAATGTCTCCTTCTCCCATGTCCCACGGGCACTACTCCATGCACTGTTTACACTCGGCGGGCCATTCGCAGCCCGACGGCGCCTACAGCTCAGCCTCGTCCTTCTCCCGACCGCTGGGCTACCCCTACGTCAACTCGGTCAGCAGCCACGCTTCCAGCCCCTACATCAGTTCGGTGCAGTCCTACCCGGGCAGCGCCAGCCTCGCCCAGAGCCGCCTGGAGGACCCAGGTACGTGCGCTTGCCAGGGAGAGGGAGAGG